CAGTACTTTGGTCTCTGACAGAACTCAAAAGTACTGGGAGCTCACTACGTTCGAACGACAACCACGTTAGAACGATATTTTAAAAATTCTTCTACAAACGTTCGAACATTATTGACGTTCAAATGATCCTTCTCAGACTATGAAAACTTGGATCATCTTCCACACTGATAAATCCCCAAAAACCTTCAAAACCCTAGAACCTATTTGTGATACCCAGCCCCCAGACCACCTTCCATTCTCCAATTTCACCTAAAATCAACCTTCCCAAACTCATTCCCACATCTGGAATCCCCATTTTCACCAGAAAATCAAGAGTTTCAAATTCATTCCAACCTCAAAAATTGAAAACATCATACCTAGAGTCAAACTACCTGCTAAACGTTATATGTCAAACCAAGAGCCCAATTTTGTAGAAGAGGTCATTAAGGAAAGAGATGAGAGGCCCATCATAAGGAGATATGATAAAACTCAATTTCCCAGCGCCCTCAATGCTGACAGGTATGAGAACTTCTACCTTAAGCTTGTTGTGGTCTGTGAGAGAGATGTAATTTTGAGTGATTTTGTTGAATTGGGCATCTTTGCGGACATGTAGAGAAGAAATTGGGGGTTGTACTTGCGAAATGGAGGGGAGGTTGTTGTCGATTTGGTGAGGAATTTTACTCTAATGCAGAAATCGTCAAGGGGGCACTGAAAAGTTATGTGAGGGGAATCTAAATTGACGTGGATGAAGACTATATAAGAGAAATGAGGCAAGAAGTGCCCCGGGTTCAGAACCCAACATACCCCCCAAAAAAGAATGTAGCTATGAATGTTATGTGAAAGGAGTTGACAGGGGTAGCTGATTTTTCTTGGACTGGAAAGAGATTTTTTAGATAAGGGGAGCTTACTAACAAATAAAAAATGTTAAACTTAATTGCGGTTTCGAACTTTGCTCCAATAGGGAGAAAAAAAATGAAATTTTGCCCGATATGGCCTGTTTACTCTATGCACTTGGGAAGAGCCATAACATAGACCTCCTCTCTCTCATCTTGAATGAAATGGAGAAGGGCTGTGATGTGAAGCGAAGCTCACTCCCATTTGGCACCTTGGTGACTGAGATATGCAAAAACCACGAGGGTCAGGGTGAGGCCTGAAATGGAAATTCAAAAGCTGATGGGGCCACTAAACAAGCCTCTTTTTGGAGAAGCCAAGGTCACAGTGGTGCCTCGGCTGCAAGACAAGAAGTACCTCCTCCTCAAGGAGTTGATGAAGTGCAAGAGGAGCTTGATGCTGAAGAGGAGAGAGAGATGGAGAGAGAGAGAGAGCATCCAGATTAGGCAGGTCCCAGCACGACCCCCCAATGTTCTTTACGGGACATCCTGCTTAGCATTGAAGCTAAGCAAGATGAGATCCTTAGTCTCTTGAGGGGTAGAGCTGGTATAGCTGGTGGGCTTGCAGGAGATGATGGAGACATAGGAGATTGAGAGGGTTTTGTCTGTTCTTGAGTGGAGTTGGGTGTTTGTTTATTTCTTCTTAGATATGATCCTTCTTTGGGTGTTCTGGTGGATGGTTGTTTTGTAGATGTTGTAGATATTTATTTCTATTCTTGGTGGTGGATGGTCGTTTTATAGATGTTTGTGGATATTTGAAATATATGTTTTGGTCACTTTTTTTATCGATGGATTGAATCATTGGTATTACTGTAAACATCATATTTTATGGAATGGAATGATTTAGTTTATCAATTTTGTTTGTTTAAATGCATATGTAGAATTGGCTCTTTGGTAATTCTTGATAGTAAATGAAACAAATGTGCATTCGAAGGTTACTTGTTAAAATGACTAAAGCATATGATCGGTTTGACACCTCAACTTAGCAACCAAGACTTGAAACCACATTTCTTGGAAAAGTGGTATTATCTCTATGCTTAAATTGTTGAAAGCACATTAGTATTTGTTATTCTTAAGGTACAAGATGATCAGACTCGAAAATAGAATCGCTATATAACCAACATTCCTTGAAACACTCGACATAACCAGTGGAGATGACAAAGAATACCGAGGTAAGTTTTGAGCTTTGCGATACTTTTTGAGAGAATATTCACAATTACTCAAAGTAAGCTCTTTCACTTTCATTTTTTTTCAATAATCTCATTAACCTTGCTTTGATTGACGCAACTAAAGTGATCTATTTACATATCCCACAAGGAACCTTTGCATACGACACATACATGTGCACATACTTGAGAAAGGATCTTAGGCCATCTTTGATTTAACATTGAGCCTTAGACATTTCTTTCACAAAGTATATCCCTAGTCAACCATGCTTGAGGCTTCAATGAATGAGTTCTTTTTCGAAAAACCCATATGATCACCAAGCCACAAGAAAATGTACTTGACATACCTTGCTATCTAATTTTCTTGCACCCTCTTATAAATCAATATGATACAGAAAAGCAAGAGAAAGAGAAAAGAAAATGGTGGCTGCCGTTCAATGAAAGAAAAGTCGGTGAAAACAATCGAAAAGGAAAAGACACAAGATAAACAGGGAATTGCCAAGAATGTGAAAAATGAGAAAAGTGAAATACAAGTTCTTGGAAAAAGACCGAAAAGTAAGAAAGAGATGTGCTACAATACATAAGGAAAAGATAGCTTTTTGAATACCATTAACGTCATTTCGTTAGCCACTGACCTCTAGCCACATTACAACCTACAAAAAGCCCTAATTGATCTCAAGTCTGATGCATGTATAGGTTGTCAACTACACACAGGATATGCTAAATAGTAGTTCTTTATTTGCATCAATTTTCCTCCATGAGATTATGCCAAAACATGATTAGTTTGTTTCCTTAAACTTCACTCCTTTACTAATTGAGCATGTGATTTTTTTCGACTGGCCATCTTCTGATTACATGTCCTATGAGAAACAAGTCACTATAATCGGAACGAATGTTTGTTGAGAGCACTCTACAAGAGGTTTGTGAAATCAAAGCTATCCATGGAAGGTGGTAAAGTGGAATGTTTGTTATATAGAAATTCTTGTTTCTAGAATGATCATTTTCACTACTCAAGGAATCCCAAATGCCAATGTGACAAGTGCTAATTTTTGCATAGAGTGAATACCAATGGAAAAGAAATGTAGGGGATAAGTCAAGATTGAGGGTTGAGTGTCCCAACGACCACGATGCTAATTCATTTTTTAGTCAGCAATCTCACATACACACTTGTTCGACTGAAGTTTGTGGGTAGCTTCACTTAAAACCCTCACGAGACAACAATCGTCCACAAGGGTAAACCTAGTGGTTCAATGGCTTGTTGCATAAGCTAAATACAACCAGATGACCTACGAAAAAGGCATTAGAAATAGATTTACATTTCAATGTTGTTGTATTACTAGAGACTAGCAATATTTAGGTTGGGGGTGTGATTACTACTTAAATGTGGCATATTATTCTGCATTTTTTGGACTAATTATACTTTGATGGAGTTTAAGTGATGACATTTTAGGACCTAATGTGAACAAAAGGTCAAGAACAATAAATATCACACTTGAGTGTGATACTAGTGCATTAGGGAACAAAACTAGAGAAGGTTGGGACAAAGCAACCACGTTCAAACATCAACTCACGTTTGACGTCCATTTGAACTATGAGGAGACCAGACTACTGAGACCTTGCGTGTTGTAGTCAAGAAGGAGGACCCTGAAGTACTGGAGTACCACGTTTAAATGCCAACTACCGTTTCAACGTCCACATGACTTGAAGAAAGATCAGAGTGATGAGTGCAAAACTCCAAGCCCTACATGGAGTGTGGAAGTGGGTTTCCACAGAAGACCAAGACCACTTGAGTGATGTGATCACATCCCATCTGGCGTTCGAAAGCCCCTAAAGCAAGATCAGAAGACACGTTCGAACGTCAGACAACGTTTGAACCCCCCTAAAGCAAACAAAAGACAACGTTCAAACGTCGATTCACGTTCGAACGTCCTCGACAAANCTCCAAGCCCTACATGGAGTGTGGAAGTGGGTTTCCACAGAAGACCAAGACCACTTAAGTGATGTGATCACATCCCATCTGGCGTTCGAACGCCCCTAAAGCAAGATCAGAAGACACGTTCGAACGTCAGACAATGTTTGAACCCCCCTAAAGCAAACAAAAGACAACGTTCAAACGTCGATTCACGTTCGAATGTCCTCCACAGACTGCCTATAGAGTAGTTGGTTCTCATGGGTGGCATACACTATTCACTCAACCTCTCTTATCTTCTTGTTTCCCCCCTCCCTTTCCTATAAATACTCCCATTAAGTGAGCTTAAGGGGGAATTCTTCCTCTTGTAAAGTAGAGTAGAGAGCTAGTTCTTGTACATTTCTTGTTTATGTTTTCATTTTGCATTTGTATCAACCATGATGGAGGCTTAGACTCCCCTTGTAGTTGTACTTGCTTTTATTTATAAGTATCAAGAGAGATAGCTTATCTTTTGGTTGTGGTTCCAAAAGTAACTAGCTTTCTTCTACTTTATTTCACTTTCATTGCTTGAGCTTCCTTCTTCCTTAGAGGAGTGAAACTCTTCCACTTTTCTAGAGATTTACCAAAGCCGTGAAGGGTGGAACGTGATTCAATTATTTTTTTGGTGAAGATCGGCTCCTCGTTTATTGTACTTTACTTTGTAAGTTCTCTACTTGGAGGGATGAACATCACTCACTTGTATAGCTTTATCCAAGCTATGAAGGGTGAGTAGTTCCTCATTCACTCTTTAGTAAGAGGTGATGAATATGTAGAAATTATCCAAAAATTATATTTGTGTAATCCCATTATGCTTTAATGCTTTATATTTCACTTGTTCATTGAATGGTTGAATATATCTAGCAAAGCTAAGGTACTTAGTATAACCATGGGTTCTTTCTATGTCACGGATGACTCTTGCATGGAAAAACCTGTTGGTTCAAAGCAAGTATCTAGGCGGTATCTGCATGATATATTTCAACCTTAATTATTATTGTGCTTTATCTAAAGAATGGAACATTACTGCCATGGTTGGATGCCTTGTAGAAACANTTGCCCGACATGGGTCGCCGCAGCATGGGTGTCCGGCGCCTGGCTCGCAACAACAACCCTGCTACTCACCTGGCCTGCTCGCCTCTCCTCCGCACGCCCAGTAATGCTTGTCGTAACAACATTTGCCCCAGAGGAGCTCACCTCCACCGGATGCCCAACGACGCTCGCCCTAGTGCGCACAGCCCGCACGCCAACAGTGCCCAAGGCAAGCCTATCCACCTGCACAGCACCTCCATCTCCTATCCTTGTCTGGCTTGCTTGCCTGATTGGGGTTGCCACATCCTGGACGCCCAAGGCCTCGCTCACCTGGACCTTGGCGCCTTAGGTAGCCTCTTCAACGCGCACGCCACTCGGCAATCGTTTGGCCTAGTAATGGCACGTCGCCCTTTGGCTACTTGCCCCCTCGAGTCTCCTCCTCACTGCCATAGTCCACGATGACACCTATATGGTCGGCATCTTGTAGAGCCCCAGCTCTACCTTCCCCTTCGGTCACCACCACGCCAGTGATAGCCTCACTGCCTCCCTCCATGTCGGCTACTCCATCATCAGAACTCCTCATTTTCTCTCTTCCTGATGACAAATGTTTCTGAGAATTAGAACAAAATCGGATCGGACCGGTTCAACCTTAACTCGGGACCACAATCGATCCAATTTACTAGTTAAACCGCATAAGGAAGTAAACTGGATAAAAACTGTCAAACCGACCAATTTTTTAAGAAAATCATGAACTGGACGATTTTTAAAAACTGGACCAGTTTGAAGTCCATTTTAAAAAAATGAAAAATTAACTCTGATGTTTTGTTTTTAATTTGGGACATTTTGATTTGCCCTAAATCGTATAAGGTAGAGACTAGTGCTCTTCGTCTCACCACCAGGGAGGTAGCGATCAACTCAGGTGTCTACCTGGCCTGTTCTGTTCACTATTCAGGCAGCAAATATCAAGGTTGTTCTATTCATTGTTCAATACATAGGCACATTCAGGTGACCACTCAGCAATTGATCGATCTTTCTCAGTCAGTCAAGCTCCAGCTTTCTGCTGTCTGTCTGTAACGTTAAGGTAAATAAAATAGTTGTCTTCTCATCCTTTCTCCTTTTTCCTTTCTCACATATAATCATGTTGATGTTGGTTCCTAAGGAATTTAGAATATACATTTCTGCCTTATTATTTGGATTGGTCCACAGTGTCCTATCATCTTGCTAGCCATTTTGTTCACCTAGCTTGTGTAGTATGTCAAAGGGTGCAGTTCAAGCAATTCAAAGCTTTCAGAAATTGGTGGTTTTTTAACTTCAATAGAGATTGTGGTTTGGGGTTTGCACTTGGAGTGATTTTTACGTTATGTATTTGGATTGGAACTTTAAAGTTGAACTTTGATATTTGGCACAAGTGTTTTTTTTTACTTAACTTCATTAATTTTATGGCAAATTGTATGCATTTTAAACCTATTTTATATTTTTTTAGCTGAATTATTATGTTTTATAATTATTATATATTTTTTTATTTTTTTATTATATGATCAGTCCGACTAGTTGACCCAACGGTTGAACCATTAACCCGGTCCCCTTGCCAGTTCGATGACCTGTCCAGTTCTGATAATATTGCTGAGAACTCATCTCAAGGACCTCTAGCCTGGGGTCTTCAAATATCTCAAGAAGGAGCACTTTCTCAAAGTGAGTGAAATGGGGAAGAAAACTCTCTACTTATAGCCTAGGGTTTTTTAAAAATCCTATTAAGGAAAGGAAAAATCAAAAAGGCCCACTTGGTAAGCTTGGGCTCTTCAAGAATCCAAAAGTGGAAGTAAAATAAGGATTTTATATAGCTAATGATGTCCCACAGGCAAAAGGAGTCTATAGGAAGGAAGGGAGTCGCCAATCAAAAGGAGTCTCCAACAAATCCAAGTTCAACAAGGGTTGATCGCTATTTTGACCATAACTTTTAATCCGTTTCTCCAAATGGGGTATATTATATATCAAATCGAAACTCTCGACGAACCCTACAAGACTCATTGCCTTTGGCTATGACTGACGCTGTTAAAAGTCCAAAAAAGTTCTTAAAACAGATGTTTTGGTCTCCCAAAATTTTTCCAATTGTGCATTCAGCCGAAATTCAAATTCAACTGAATGTCCTCCTCTCCAACTTCCATTGGACACAAGGCATTGGGGGCAAATGATGGGTCAAGCCCAAGAGTCCAACCCACGTTGTAAGCCTAGTTTAAATTAAGAGACGAACTTATAAAGATCTAGTATCCAGCCCAGAGAGGTCCACACCCGGTCAAGCTTGCCAAGTGAGTAAGCGGGGTCTTCAAGATCCTTATCTACGCCGCCTTGAAAATGGTCAACCCCCACGTTATAATTTGACCGAATCTCATGGAGATCACCGTAACCACCTCATCCGTTGAGAAAAGGTCGCCAACTCCACCATATTAGTCATCTAGTTACTAATAACTCTCTTCAATCTGTTATGAGGCGACTATAAATTGTAAGCCCCGCTAACATTTGGAGGCATCACATTCAGTCGAGCAGATCTCTCTTATCTCTCTCAACTTGTAACTCTCTGCTCTCCTTACACACTTGAAGTAATAAAATACTCCGTCGACCCTAGCCATTTAAAGTGGACGTATGTTACATTGACTGAACCACTATAAATTCTTGTCTTGCTTGTGTCTCTCTTAATTACTGCATTTATTCCTGCTCATCTGACAGATGGTGTGCAAACCCAATTTGTGCATCATCACAAACTACCACCAAACATCCTATCTAACATCTAGAAACAAAACCCCAAACTCAATTGAACCAAAGCCTTTCGAATCATTATACCCATTTCATACTCATGTAAAACCGAAAAATTTAAAACATGTTTTCGTGGATAAAAAATGATCAAAACACAAATTAAACTACATATTCAGCTTCCTAGCTTCCCAATTAGTCTATGATTATCTATCCTTGCTCGAATCCTCCTCTACAAAAATTGAATTTTTGCAAATTTACACACTTTCTCTCTCTATCTTCTCCCTTCTATCTCTCTATAATTTCTCTCTCTTCCACACCACCCGAGCAGGTAATCTACCTTGCTAGGTGAAAACCATGCTACTAGGGACCTTCAAATGCAGCTAGCAAGCTACTTTGAAAGTGCTGAACATGAAATGACATTTCTGTAAATTTCCTAAATTCAAAAATTAATTTATATATATATATATTATAATTACATACATGTTAAAACAAGTCCTAGAAAATTTTCTATTAATTTTTAAAGTTCAAATTGACATCCAATTTCATCCTCGAACATCATTTCTACACCCCTAATTCTTTGGCACGCATCAACTCTACTTCATTTGAATCCATGTTCGGGCTTGCTCTCTCTTCACCAGTTACACTCTTACTCCAAACTAACACCCTATTCATCCCCAAAATACCTACACACATACTCTAGAGATATCAATTCATAGTAAGATTATTCGGACTCCAAACTCCTACTCACTCCTATACTCATTCTTGTCCCAATTTTTGTTCACCAAAAACTAGGTCGTTACATCTAATACCACTTTGTTTGAATCAAGAGGACCATCACACACTCACAAAAAATATAATGGAAGAGACTAATCTTGAAGAAATGAAGAACTCTTTCAATATATTGATACCCAAATGAGTGGATTGCATATCATATGAAATAAAATCCCACTACATAATGCAATAATAAAAATAATAATAACTCCACTCCTCCATGACTTAAAAAATTAAAATATCACAGTTACTTTGTTTCCCATTACTATCAAACTAATGACCCACTAATACAAAAAACTAAAGGCATAAAAGTCCTAGAACATGAAAAATCATGTTTATTATTTTCTCCCAATAGTATTTATCTATGTTTCTGATGTTTTCAGGCTACGGGTGACCCCAAAAAATACTACCACAATATTTTCAAGTCAAATTTTTGAATTATTTAGCAATGATATTAGGATCCAAAAATGAGTGATCACTTTTTCTCAGCTTTACCTTCATCAATAGTGACATATACCAATTACAATTTATTAATAAATTTTATTATGGGAAGAGTAACAGAGAAAGTCGAATTTATGGAAAAATGATGATAGTGACCTTCAAGTTTTTATCAGTTCATATGAACTGTTGGATCCTAGATTCTACTAATATCCAATTGTTGTGGTTGCACCATTTTACTTGGTAGAAAGAATATGATCGGAGCAATATGATTATGTAAAAAAGGAGTTAGAGATCCAACCATCCATGTTGCATAACTTGCTCAACTGTCTATATTATAGTGATCATTATTGTTACACAGACTATGAGAAGTTATGCTTTTTTTGAATTATTAATCTTATAATATTTAAAAAAAATTCTCTTTAATCGTATAATTTAAAATTAAATGAACAAAAATAAAATAAGAAAAGGNCAATACGAAAAAAAAGAATATTAATCTTATAATATTTAAAAAAAATTCTCTTTAATCGTATAATTTAAAATTAAATGAACAAAAATAAAATAAGAAAAAGGTAGGGAGATAGAGAGAGAGAAAGAGAGAGAGTATAAGTGTGAATTGGGGGGGTTCTCTGGCATTTGGGATCGTACAATGAAAATAATGTTTTTTAATGGAAAAATAAATTTTGGGATGAATTTTGCACTATTGGATCAGAGTAGATAAAAATTTAATCAATTTTGACCATAGTTTTACTTTTATAAATTGATAATTTAACTTTTTAACTGTAATATTAATAGATTCCTATGAGTTGAACACTAAATTATACGATTACAAGACATACCATTATAGCCCACAAGAGTAAGGTTTCATGAAATGTTAGAATAATGATGTGTTTACCAAAGCTTTAGAAGAAGTTTCTATATGTATGAATTTTAGTATAATGTGGTGATTTTTCCTAAAACTTTCATCAAATTGTGTATATCAAATGATGTAGTATATTACTAGTCATTTGATCATTAGTCATATAAGTGGAACCCAGATTAATTTTTCATAAATATTTTGGTAAGTGTAGCATTTATCGAAATTTTATCCACAACCATTTTCATTATGGTCATAATTTCCCCCCAAAAAAAAAAAAAAGAATTGTGAAAGGGGTTATTCCCACCCCCATTAAAATTTTTATTATCAAACTATTAAGTTCACCTCTTTTATACCCACCCTATACTGTATGCACCCCTTTAGTAATATGCTCTCACCTTTTATATTCTCAAAACAGGAGTTTCATTCATTATCTTCCCTCATACACCCTACACAAAAGAACTTTTTCAATAAAGATTGATAAATAAGATGAGTACATCACTTTCTCTATTTGTATATTATACAAGCCTATTCTAGTTTCTATCAAAACAACTTCCATTAAATTATCAAGAGGAGCAGCAACTTGTGTTGCTATGGTGTGAGCAACAATATTAACTTTTCTTTTAATGGACACAAACTGGATCAAATAAATTTGTTGAGTATACCTACAAGAATAATTTAAACAACACAAGAATTTACAATGCTTCGTTTTTTCTTCGTATTTCAAACTTGTATGAATACATACATACACACACACATATAAACCA